GCCACCAGCGTGTGGCCAGCCCAGCCCAGCCCAGCCCAGCCCCGTGGAAGGATGAGAGGATCTGGGACAGGAAAGGGTTGTTGACTCATCCCATGCACCGAACCCACAGTGCTACCACCCACAGCGAGAAAAGCTCCTCCACCCAGCACATCCTCCACAGCCCCCAGGTGCTCAGCTGGGCGCTGCCAAGGGGACACCCGTGGCCGGGCAGGAGCTGAGGATTCAGGTAGGGATGAGTCCGTGACTGGGACCCAGAGATCCCTCATTTGCAGTCTGCCCCAGGGCTTGTGAGCCAGCAGGACCCCCCTTGCAAAGGGACCCTCGCCACCCTGGGCTTCCTACAGCATGAGGCTGTGTTCAGAGCCCCCCGGGCACGGGGGCCACGGCTGCGCCATCCCGGTGATGGTAAAGGAGTGGGTCTCCTCACAGAAGGACAAGAGGAGACCAAGGGGATAGGGCAGCTCACGCGAGCCTAAGTGGCATGGTGCGGCCTCCCCACCCTGCCCACATCCTGCCCCTTCGTACCTTCTCGCTGCTGAAGTACATCAGGTTCTTCCCGTCGAAACGGACGTAGCGCCTCTGGAAGACATAGTTCCTGTTGGGATGGCAGAAAAAGAGGGCTGTTGGGAAGGGGATGACCTCCTAGAGGACCCCACATCTGCTCTCAGACCCCCCCTTTCCCCCAAGGATGGCTGCACAGAGACCCGTGCAGCATGGCTGGGGCACCCAAGTGGGTCCTCCTGTGAGGAGGTCCTGCTGCCCCACTAGCATGGTGGCCAGTGTGCCCACCTCACCAGCCTTGCCCAAGGGGGCTTTACCTATGGGGACCATCCCCCAGGTGGACACGTACCCCTGTGGGGAGAGCTTGTCCAGCCAACCACTGAGCATGGTGGGTCGGGGCTCAGTGAGCGACGTGAAGCTGGCATAAGGGGAGATGGTGAGGTCATCCAGGACCTCATCTGGGTAGAGATGGGCTGGCAGGCTGAATGGGGCACCCTCGGCCCGCGGTGCCTCCACGGTGGAGTACCCCTCCGTGTCGTTCTGGACGATGCGGTTGATGAGCCGGGACCGGGTCTCCTTGTCCTCGCTCCTTCCCTCACCACTGCACTCGCTGCTCGTCCTGTGAGAAACGGGGCCGTGATGGAGCCCGATTGCAGCAGCACAGCTGCTCCTCATGAGGGGTCCTGGTCAATGCCATCCCATTATGGGATGTCTCACACTGCTCCTGGCCCCATCCTGAGTGACATGGGTGTTTGCATCTCCATGAGCAGGGTGGGACAAGGGCTCAGCGCTCATGAGCCGAGTGAGCTCACCAGCAGCCCGAGGCTTAACCAATGATGGCAAGGCTCGGAGGAGCTGGCAAGATGGGCTTCCCCACCTTGAGTAATACCACATGGGCCATCATGCATCTCCAAACCCCTGGCATCCCCTCCTTCCCCTCTTCACTCCACAGGCAGCAAACCAGGCAGCTCCCCAGTCCCACGTCCTGCTCCCTGCTCTACACCCACCCCAGCTACCTCCTCACCAGGGGTCTCAGCCTGTCCCCTCCCTCTACCCCTCCAACATTCATGGCACCAGGAAGGTCCTTCTGCCATGACACCCTCTCGCTTGCTCTTGTGTCCACCCGAAACGTTTTGCAAAGGGATTGGGATGGACAGACGGGCCGGTGAAGTTCCTGCATCCATCTCCTTTTCTTGGGAAGCCATGCTAAAACCCCAGCCAGGCCTGGGGAGACTATCCAGCCATAACAATAAAAGGAAATAATAAAAATAAACTGCTAAGCCTGCCCCTTCTCCTCAGCCTTCTCAGCCAGATGTTTTCCTTTCCCCGAAACGAAACAAAGAATGAAGGAAAGGCTCCAAGAAAGGCAACAAGGATGGTCCAAGCCCTGTCATAGCTTCTATCTGAGGAGCACCTGAGCAAGCTGGGCATCTCCAGTGGGGAAAAGGTGAGCGATGGGGGCAGGTTTCTGAAGTCGTGAGCAGCATGAGGAGGGCAGAAAGATGTCTCCTGGCCACCACTGCTTCGGTCAGAGGAGCTGGGTGATGTCAAAGCCAGCAGGAGCAAGGTGCAGAACCAGATGGGAAAGAAGCTGCTGACCTGTGGGACTTCTTGCCATGGGATGTTGTAGAAGGAGAAATATATGGAGGAGAAACTCACTGGGGGGGTAGTGAATATGAGAAACCACCTCCAGTACAAGTCCATGTGCTAGAAATGCTTTTGGACCAGCAGAATGACCCCAAACACCTCCCCTCAACATAAATTCTTCAGGCACGTGGTTTCGAGCGCTCCGGATCGTAGGAGCCAAGGCAGTGCACGGATGCGTGCTTTGACCCTGAACAGGCACCTCACGAGGCCATCAGACGTCAGATGTCCCCGAACCATGTGGGACAGAAGAAAGACCTGAAGTCTGCCTGGGAGGATGTTGGGCTGGAGCCACCCGGGCTAGGGGTCAGCTCCGGAGAAGTGGGATGGCGTATGGGGCTGAGGAGGTGGGTGGAGAGGGAAGATGGCCTGTTTGGCTCCAGTGTCTGCAAGAAGGACAAGAAATGGCCATGGGTGGCTTGGAGGCTCAGAGCACAACGAGAATTGCTATTTAATTTGGAAAACAGAGCCTTGGCAGGGTGATTCATCTGGCTGGAGTACCAGCCCGGAGTCCAGCTTCTTCAGGAGAGACTGGCCAGAGAGCGGGGTGGCTGGAGGACTCCGTACGTCATAGGCGGACATCAGCCTTGAGTGTTAGAGCCAAGTGGGAGACAGACCTGCTGAATGGTTCAGAGCAAGAGAAAAAGGGGAAAAATCCATGACAGCCCCTTCCTGCGCTGTGATTTACAGCTGCTGACACCACAAAGAGCTGGAGGATGAGTAGCATCTGGCAGGGACAAACAAAGCCCTTGGCCCAGCCAGAGTGGGGTCTCTAAGCATCCCAGAAGCATGCCAAGACCCTGGGCAACTCCCAGGTCTGCCCCTGAGGACAGGGTTGGTGGAGGAAGTCTTCAAGCAACAAGTCTGCAAAGGCCAAGTCATCTCCCTTCTCTGCTGGTGTCAGGCTGTGAAGACAACTAACCTTGGGGCCAAATGAATCCCCAGGGCAAGGAGAAGGTATTTCCAGGTCAGCAGAGCCTGGAGGGTGATGCCTGAGGTGCAGCGAGTTGGGGCATTCTCAGCCTGTCAGTGCTCACATGGGAGAGTTGGTGGAAGATGGAGGACAGGTGATGAAAGAAAGGGATCTGCTGGTGGTGAGGGGATCAAGGAGCTGCTGATGGATCTGGTTACTTCAACTGGAAGTCATGGGCCAATCAACCTGCGAGTGGGCACCTGGAGGTAGGTAGGGAGATAAGGAACAAGCTGTCAAGGACACATTATTCCCAGTATTTCTTTTCCTGCAGGGAAGGTGCCTTGAGGTGTGGGGAGAAGCAGTCCAGGTAAGCATCTCCCTGAGGATCATCTCATTGTGGGTCTTGATGCAAACCAGGACAGGGTCCACCATCCTCACCATGATGTCTGACGAGTCGCTGTCTGACGGTCCCCTGAGCTCCATGGGGTGACACAAGCACTGCTGTGCCACTGTCTGTCTCCTGCCTCCTGGGACTGATGTCTGAAGCAGGGCAGATGCTGTCCTCCACACCAGCATTTCAGAGGATGGAGCATCACCAGCTTGGATAAAGGTGCTCAGCGTCAGAGTGG